AACCCCTCCCCTTACTAAAAACTTTGACCACATCTGTAGGGGGCACTAATGAGCCAAGTTCATTTATTTCACTTTCAATTGACCTAGACCCTAGAGTTGAACAATGTAAAGTCACATTTTGCCGCTCCGCTGCTCGAACAACGTTTCACTGATCAAAAATCCCTGAAGTCATTTTGAAGGTACATGTTTTGAGATGATGTGGAGCGATTTTGAGGCGAATCAGTGAAACGGCCGAGGAGGAGATAGTTTCCAACCGACATGTATGAAAACTTTTGCTGTTCATTTTTCCATTTTGCACTGAAATTTATGGGCTTCCTGTTTGTCAGAGGGCGGGGCCCTAATACAATTTTTTTCTCGTCTTGACTTGAGGAACATGTGTACCGAGTTTCATGGCTCTACGACAAACTTGACCTCCAAAAACTCCCATAGGGGTATTATTTTGGCTGTTGTAGGTGGCATTCTGTTCTGGCATTTTTTTGAGTCCCATCAAAATAAACACCAAAATATCACATTTTTTGCCAGGTCTGATTTTTGGGCCAAATTTAACAACTTTTCATGCATGTTCAGGGGGTCAAATTAAGGCTCAAAGCGCAGGAGAAAAAAGAAATAAACCAAACCAAGGAATTTTTTTTTGACGTTTTGAGCAAAAACCATATAGGTTTCAATGGCACGTGATACATAATTTTAAAGCGTTTGAGTTTACGCACGCAACCCGAACGGGGTAAGGGCTTATTGCTTTCACAATGATGAATGCAAATGGTGGTGGTGCCTGACGGACGCTTCAGAGCCAGTCATTCACCCCGACGTGACGGTTGCGTGCGTAAACTCAAACGCTTTAAAATTATGTATCACGTGCCATTGAAACCTATATTGTTTTTGCTCGAGACTTTTAAAAAAAATTCCTTGGTTTGGTTTATTTATTAGGCCCTAGCCCCGAACGGGGAAAGGGCCTATTGTTTTTGCTGAAGAGATGTCAAATTCTGCACTTTGAGCCTTAATTTCACCCCCTGAACATGCATGAAAATTAGTAAAATTTTGCCCAAACATCAGACCTGGTGAAACATTTGATATTTTGGTGTTTATTTTTATGGGACTCAAAAAATGCCAGAACAGCGCCACCTACAACAGCCAATGGGAGTTTCAGAGGTCAAGTTTGTCGTAGAGCCATGAAATTCGGTACATATGTTCCTCAAGTCAAGATAAGACCAAAATGTTACCATGTCTCTGCCCTCTGACAAACAGGAAGCCCATAAATTTCACTGCAAAATGGAAAAATGATCCGCAATCATTTTCATACATGTCGGTTGGAAATCTTCTCCTCCTCGGCCGTTTCACCGATTTGCCTCAAAATCGCTCCACATCATCTCAACACATGTACCTTCAAAATGACCAAAGGGATTTTTGATCAGTGAAACGTTGTTTGAGCAGCAGAGCGGAAAAATGTGAGTGTTTTTTGGCCGTTTTTGACAACATTAATTTTGCTCCCGTTTGCACAAACAAAGTATGATTTGCACAAAACCTGAATCCAATGTTCAACTCCAGGGTTTAGGTCAGGTGAAAGTGAAATATTTGAAATTGGCCCATTAGCGCCCCCTACAGATTGAGGCAAAGTTTTACATGGGGTGCCAAACAGCTCTAATAATCATATTCATTACAAATTGACTAACATTCTTCTATGGCTACAGCAACAAATCATCACACGGCGGCCCCACCTCCTTTGCGCGGTGCTGCGTGGTACGGTGTGGTGCGGCGTAGTGCAGGGCGTTGTGGAGCGGCGCATTGCGGCTTGGTGCGGGGCGGCGTGGTGCAGATCCGCTTGGTGCGGGGCGGCGTGGTGTGGGGCGGCTTGATGCATGGCGGCTTGGTGGCTTGGTGCGGGGCAGCTTGATGCGGGGCGGCTTAATGCGAGACGGCTTGGTGCGGGGCGGCTTGGTGCTGGGTGGTGCGCGCGGTGCGGCTATGGCCGTTCGACGCCGCTTGCGGCTTTAATTATTATTACATTTTATCCCTTAGAAGTGTTTTTTTTTTTCTTACTTTATTTTCTTATTTTTATTATGCCTTCTCTACTCTTTATCTCTCTTTCTGACTGTTGCACTGAGCCAAAACAATTTCCAAGTCTGTGACTTCCTGTTACTTACGTGGCAATAAAAATGATTCTGATTCTGATTTGCATGGTGTGACGAAGCTGGTCCGTCTCTAGCTCAGTGCGGCAATGTATTAGTAAACTCACACGTGCATGCACGCACATACACACATATGCAGACACACAGACACATACATGCACACACACACAATGCCATTCCACACTCGTGCACCCTTTCCCCCGTTCTCTTCCCTCCGTTACTAGTCTGCCAAAGTTGCACACTTGTTCGGGTTAGAACTCCATTGGAGCATATACTGTATACACGCACACTCAAACATATATTTGCGGGTGCGGTGCTAATAAGCCCTTTGCTTCAGCCCACTTCTTTTGTGCAGTATTAATACTGTACAAATAAATAAATAAATAAATACAGACATACCGGTCTGTCGCCCTCCTCTGTATCACGCAGCCCAAAGGATCCTCGCAGTTATGTGGCTTCAGTCAAAACACATGGAAACATGTTTGTGCTGATGGTTCTTAGCATTAGATCAGCTCCACACACACATCACTTGAATTTAAACTTTAGAGGAGACCTGCTCGTCACTCGCTGCTCCTACCATGTGGACGAGCTGTCGTTTGCTGCTAAAAAGCTTTAACCCAGAGCAGAAGGTGCCGAAGCTGTTGCAGGTATCGCTCCGCTCGGCTCTGACCCAGTAGAATGCATGGATGCACTTATGAAAAGTGCGTGGCTCAAAAGGGCTGTTAGTACAAAGAATGTGGAATATTTTAAACTACGCTGTTAACCGGTGTCATCCGGTTAACGAGGCTCGGTGGTCGGTCAGGAAAATTCAGTTTTTTACATCCCTAATCCCTACATAAACTTGGGGCCATTCTTAATATTCTTCTAATTTATAGACAGCCTCTTCCTCTTTTAATTTTTAAGTTATAGCTTTTTGAAAATAAGAACCTCTGGCGCTTAAAGTGTTAAGACTGATCTCACTTGAGGAAATGGGAGGAGCCAGCTCTGCTCGTAACCTGAAAACCTGAAGCCACACCAGCTTGAGAACTCTGAGTCTGAGGGTCTAGTGGGTGCCAGATACTCAAAGCACATCACCATACACTATTGTATGTTTTAGTTTTTTTGCTAAAATAACACAAACATTTGTTCAATCTGGATAGACTACAAGAGATAAGATGTATTGTTTGTAGTGTATTATTATGGCGCATAGGACCCAGCTGTGGCCTTCCTCTATGAGGATTATAACTTGAGTGCAGATTATGATCCTGGGCCACACTGGTGGCAACAGGGCAAGGTGGATGTGAGCATTCAATGAAATTCTGAGGTGGAGGGGGGAGGAGGTGGTTGCGGCTTGAAAGGCTGTTTGGTGTGCGCTGTCCAGCTTTTAAGCACTGGCTTCATTAGCGGCTGGCAGGGGAGTTGGTGAAGCTAGGCTGAGGAAGGAAGGGGCCAGCCTGGTACGATGATGTGCGTGAGTAGTCTACCCGTCTGAACTTCCTCTTAAGCCGCATTTTTATTGATCTAGTTCACTCATCGCGAGCCATTGATGGTGCTCTGTCCATGTAGACAGAGCACTTTATTTCAACATTAGAAGGAGGGCAGGCAGGTTTGATTCTGGACATAGTTTTTTTTTTCTCTAATAAAGTCTTGCGTCTGACCAGACCAGGGAGAGAAACCACGAGGACAAACACATTCATCGGACACAGAGACCATGTATGGAGGACCATGGCTGCCAAAACAATAAATATATACAGAAATAAATAAATAAATTTTAAAAAGATAATTGCATGCATATCTTTGTAAATTTTATGAGAATAAGTGCATTTATTTCTGTATTTATTTATTTATAAATTTATTTTTATATTTATTTATTTCTGTATTTATTTATTCATATATTTATTTATTTATTTTGTATTTATTCATACATTTATTTCTCTATTTCTGTATTTATTTTTGTATTGATTTATTTATTTTATTTATTTATTTATTTATTTCTCTATTTATTTTTGTATTTATTTATTTATTTTTGATTTTTGATTTATTTATTTTAGCATTTATTTATTTATTTCTCTATTTATTTATTTTTTTCTCTATTTTTTTTTCTCTATTTATTTATTTATTTCTTACGAAAAAATAAAAATAAAAATCTCAAGCATTCTTCCATATGCAACAATTGCATTGTGTGTGTGTGTGTTTTTTTGTCCGGCTCGTAAGAGGCTTTTGGCAAAGGCAGTGACAGGTGCTTGTGTGTATTTTACTACAAAGCGCTGAAGTCCGTCCGCCGAAAAACCCTGCGTTCGGTTCTACAGGCCCAGAGTCCGGTGGTTTTCCACACTCAGAAACGTGTCTTTGTTGCAGCGGCGCAGTATTTTGCACGTCTCACGAGCCGGACAAAAAAAACACACACACACACAATGCAATTGTTGCATATGGAAGAATGCTTGAGATTTTTATTTTTATTTTTTCGTTCTGACATGGCTATAGCGAGAACACAGTGATCTCACCATGACCCCATGAATTGCATATACAGAAATAAATTCATAAATAGAGAAATAAATAAATAAATGCAAAAATAAATAAATAGAGAAATAAATAAATAAATGCAAAAATAAATAAATAGATAAATAAATAAATAAATGCAAAAATAAAGAAATAAATAGAGAAATATTTATATATATATATAATCTTTTTAAAATGTATTTATTTATTTATTTATTTCTGTATATATTTATTGTTTTGGCAGCCACGGTCCTCCATAACCATGAGGACAAACACATACATCTGACACAGAGACCATAAGGTACAAACACATATATCAGTCCTCTGGCCTATTCTGTCCTCTACACATCTCCACGCTCTGCTGGTGGGTGTACTGGTGCTGTTGCTGTCAGGGCGTACCTGGTTACAGTCAATGCCATTGTTGACAGACCAGGTGGTCTGGAAGTACTCTAGCATACGCTGCTTCAGGCTCTGAGGCAGATGGTGCACCCGGATGAAGTCCTTCAGATCCTTGGTCCTCGTGTGGTACTGTGACCAGCGTGAGTACATTCTCTGAATAATGGCCGTCACGTTTCCAAAGACCAGGGCGTGCATCAGCGCTGCAACACAAACACACACACACACTGGTTTTTGTTGTGTCCTTTGGCAAAACCGGAGCACTTGGAAGAAACCTATGCATAAATATTTCCACCAGGTTCTCTGGTTCCTTCTGTGTGCTCCCGTTTCCCCTACCACTAAAAATATTATGGAGTAGACGTGATGGGAAATTGCGAGGATTCCTACCGCTGCCGCTGTTTTGGCTGATTCTGTCAAACCGGGTCATCTGCGCCTTGGGAAAAACCTCCGGGAGGAGACATCTAATCTACAGCCCATCCAAACTTCTGGGGCTGCGACACGCCGTGACACCCATCCCACCGAGTCTGCCGAGCGACGTGCCCAGAGAGTCACTGCGGGGTTCAGATCCACGGCCCGGCTCAGGTCGCAAAGTCTCTGAGATGCAGGACATCTCGATATGCTAACAGCTTCTTCCCACAAGCTGTCATAAGTTTGAACAGAGCACTTTAATGATCTTGCACTTTGTATTGAAATTGTTTTAGCCGATTGTTTTCACAGTGACAATTGTTTTACTGTTTTATTTGTTTGTTTTTTTCTGTACTTTTAATGTTGTTTTATGTCTGTACTTGTGCACACTGGGGACTTTTGCTAATGAATTCCAATGTGGTTTTACTGCAAATGGCAAATAAGTGAATCTGAATCTGAAGCAGGGCTGGACTGGCCATCGGGCATACCGGGCAGTGCCCGAAGGGCCGATGCCCATATTTGGGCCGGTCTGTCTGCCTCATACAAAAAACATATTTGTGAAAAGTGTAAATCCGTTGAGAAATGTTTGAGGGGAGCGCGCGTGTCCGCGGGGCACCTGCTGTATGTACTCGAACGGGATTCCACCACCTCAGCGGCCGCAGTGTTCCCGCATCCAGCGGCTCTGAGCTGGGCGCGGGAACCGATCACCGGGAACCGCTCACAACACAACACTGTGAGCGCGTAGCCGCAACGTGACCATGTACCCATGACCATAAACGCGCACAGGACCATGCGTGTCTTTGCGTAATTTGTGCACCCAATAAATACACCGCTGCAGAAAACAGTCCGCGTCTCCCCTCTCCTCTAAATTAAAGCTCCGGTACCTAAATTTTCCATTGCATTAAAAGTTCATGTATGAGCACAAAAGTAAAATGTTGTGAACAGATTAAACAGATTTAGAGCCAGCTAATGGCTGACAATATGCATTTCAGAAATTTTTACCAATTCTCATCCCTGTAACAAACAATAGTATTGTCTGTGACCACCTCCCTCACTCTAATACATGTTTATTACTCTGTTTAATGTAGACTATTGTACTTTATTTTATTGTTGAAACTGCAGACATCCTGATCCTCTACAGTATTTGCTTCCACATACTGTATAAACCAGGGGCCGGCAACCTTTAGTGCCCCTAAAGTGGCTCCTGGAGCCTTTTCAAAAATGTCTGAAAACGGAGTGTGAGGGCTATATTTTATTTCTAGTTTCAATGTGGTTTCTGTAGGGGGAAAAACGTTCTTAACGTTTTTCAATGCTGCAAAAACTTGTATAAGTAATATTCAATTTTATCTGTGTGTGCGCATGGATCCCAAAGATAAAGAGAGAGAGTCGATAAGACTGGACTAAGAATGAGAATGAACATTTGCTTTCAGTCACTGAGGAAGGGCTGCTTCATGTTTGCGATGTAATGAAAAGTTTTGTTGCAACAGGAGGAACAATGAAGCTTTAAACACCGTTCACTGAAAGATTCATTCATCCTAAAGTCAGAGCACCTATTTCCAGACTTCAAATGCCTTCGCAAAGACGGTGAAAGAAAAGGCCATTAAGGACATTCAGCTCCAGCAAACTTCAGCCTGTGATGTGATCGATATGAACAGACAGTGATGCAGGTGAACTCGGAGCCAAAAAGCAGATTTATTTACTCTATTTGTACAATTGTATGAAGGTTAAACTTAAAGCAGAGTTGTCACGTGGTGCATCATTCTCTCCAGGACACGCTGCAATGAAAATACACATTTGATAATCATGAATGGTTTTTATGTGTGTAGCCTTTACTTTGTCATTTAGATATTAGGCTAATATAGCTAATGTAGCTAATGTAGCTAAGGTAGCTAATGTAGCTAATGTAGCTAAGATAGCTAAGGTAGCTAATGTAGCTAATGTAGCTAATACAGCTTCAGCCCCTGTTACCTTCATATAAGCCTTATACAACGCTGTTTTGGTTTTTTTGCGGCTCCAGACAGATGTTGTTTTTATTTTTTTTGTCAAATATGGCTCCTTGAACCTTTTGAGTTGCCTGGGCCGCTAAAAAGGAAAAAATGCCCGGGCCGTTTTTTTGTTCCAGCCCAGCCCTGATCTGAAGTCAGGAAGAGGGGAAGGCGGGGTGGTGTGAGGCAGCGCGCACGGAGAGCAAGCAAGCTACCGCTACCAGCTTTAATCCTCTCCAACACCCGCGCTCTTAAGAACAAACTGGACGAACTGCGCCAGCAGGTTAGAGCTTGCTATGAGTTTCGAATGTCCGGATTAATGGCATTTACTGAAACATGGTATGGGGCGGATATTCCTGACAGCCTCATTCACATCGATGGCTTCTCCCATGTTTGTCTGGACAGGGATACGAGCTCCGGCAAAAGTATGGGAGGGGGGCTCTGCTTGTATATCTGAGACAGTTGGTGCCAAAACATCGCAGTGCGGGACAAAATACAGTATGTAACCCGGACTTATAATTACTGTGTGTTACGCTACGACCACACTATCTCCCACGAAAGTTTAAAAACATCTTTGTGTGTCTCGTCTATGTTCCACCCAGCGCAAACGCCAGCAGGGCAGCCAATCAGATTGCAGAATGTGTTCATCGCAACCTCAAAAACAAACCTGATGCTCCAGTGCTCGTACTCGGTGATTTTAATCACTGCAGTTTGTCAAAGACACTACCAGGTTTTCAGCAGTATGTAAAGTGCAGCACCAGAAAGGGTAATATACTGGACAAGTGCTATGGCAAAATAAACAACGCATACACAGCCAAAGCCAGAGAACCGCTTGGGAGCTCGGATCATAATGTCATACACCTGCTCCAAACTTACCGGTCTGTTTTTAAGACTTGTAGACCAGAAATTAAAACTGTTAAGTTATGGACCAGTGAGCTGTGGTACCAACCTCAGCCCGAGACCAGTGGGGGCGGGTCCCAGCTCAAAAGTGGCCAAAATGACGTGCGCTGACATGCTTGCAATACCACCCCGGGTCGATGGGGGTGGACCCAGAAGAAGAATTAGCCAATGCTAACATATAGCATTGGCAGACCTCTCAAAAACGTCTTTACAGGATGGACCAAAAGTTGGCTCTTGGCCCAAAGCTCCGTTCCACATGAATTTGTTCATGGGTGAATTTTTTTGGACCACTCTAGTTTACTTGCTGTGAATTTTTGAAGTCTCTCGTTCAAATGAATGGAGCTGCGCCGGCTGACGCATGAGCAGACGCGTATTTTGGATAGCTCCAGTAGAGCACATTTTTTGGCCCATTAGTTAGAACGGCGGAGATAGGCGTGACTCTGTCCGTTAATATATACAGTCTATGCCCGAGACTCAGGTTGAAGACGTGCTCCATCACTCCACAGAGTTCATCTGCGCAGGAGCAAAGGAGCCTGGAGCTGATGTTGTCTGGTCCGCAGGCCTTCCCTGGCTTGATTTTAAGCAGTTCCATTCGGACCTGTGCGGCAGTGAATGACAGGGGTGGGGGTGGGACAGAGCTGAGAGGCGTGGGCCATAGTGTGAACGACCGTGTCTGGGGGGCATTGTTCTCCAACAGGGGTGGGTTGTCGATTGAACCGCAGGTAAAATGTGTTCAAGTCGTTTACCCATTGTCTGTCCCCCACCTGCTGAACAGGCTTTGGTTTGAATCCTGAGTGGCCTTCGGATCGTTCCAAACACCTTTGATGTTCTGTCTGCTGAGCTGCTCTTCCATTTTGCCCCTATGTATAGTTTTACAAACGCAGTGAGAAGAGAAGAGACGCCTGGAGAAATGGGAAATCTGTGGGAGCTTAAAACCACAATGGTCCGAGAAGCCAGGAGGATTTTTGTCACAGCCCTTCCAGCACCTCTGGCCACTTCAGCCCCTCCCTGAGAGGCTGGCCTTCCCTCCCCCTCCCTTTCTGTTGCAGGATGTGAACAGGTGTGCTGGAGGAACTCCACAGCTGAGTTCACTCTCATCATCAGCAGGAAGGATTCAAAAACCACTGCAGTGAGCTCAGCTGTGCCAGATTGTAAAACTCTGCCAGTCAGTGTCACGTTTCTAGCGTTATTTTTGACTAGCTCGAAATATAACATTCAAACAAGTTTTTTTTTGCCTTATTTTCCAGTTCTCCAGCCACCTGCTTTTCCGGCTCCATCCTGCCCTGCCCCTGCTCTGTCCTGTCCAGGTTTTGCTCTGCCCTGCCCTGGTTTTGCTCCGTCCCGCCCTGGTTCTGCTCCGTCCTGCTCTGTCCTGCCCTGTCCTGCCCTGGCTCCGCTCCGCCCTGCACTGGCTCTACCCCATCTAGCTCCAAACCGGCTTAAATAAAATTCCTTCTGAACCTCTTCAGAGTCTGCTCTTGGGTTCTTTTGCCTTGATCCGTTACAATTTTCCCTTGGACACAGCCGCGGCAAAACTGAGGCTAAAAGCTCAGATTATTGGCTTTCAACCAGGTGCTGCATACCATCTCAAAAGAAAAAAGATTCACTCAAGCTGGTGATAAAGTTTTGCAGGGATTCTGTGAGTTTTATTTGAGGCTTGTTCCTAAATAAGTTTTCTTGAAACTTGTGACAAAGTTGGACTCGGAGCGAGTCAGAACATTCTGAGACCTGTACTGTAGAGTCGGCCTCGTTCTCGTTATTGTTGGTGTGTGAAAAAAGTTACGTAATGTTCACGTGTGAGTCTAGATGTTCTCTGGGGCTTGAGCGGCAGAATGAGGTCTGCGGAAATCCACCACAATCTCACCGTCTTCCCTGCATTGATGCAGAGGTGGTTTCTCTCCTTGGTTTTCTCTTGGGTTTCCTCTTTTGTAAGTCTTGCTTCTTCATCATGCTAGAGTTGGAGATTTTAGACTTCTTGAAACCAATGTGGCACGACTTTCACCTTCTGTGGACAGTTACAAAATAGCCGCGGGGCAGGAACATTTTGAAAAAACACATTCTCACTTGCGTCAGCTGGCACGAGCCCCATTCATTTGACGAGTGCTTTCAAAATTCCATAGCTGCTGAATAAGAATGG